GAGGCAAAGAGAATAGGGAAAGAGAATAGGCACTTGAGGAACTAAAAAGTAGTAAGTGAAGGAGGCACACAGGAACTAAATATGAAATCTTGTTAGTCATTTAGTAATTTCATGCACCCACGTGAAGCCGAAGGCCTGCCAAACGAGGTTTTCTTAGAAATTCCTCCCCTCTCACAAAACCGTTAACCAAGAAACCGGAACTATCCAGAGTCATCCAGACGACCTGACGGTTTCCGAACGCTTCGTTCGCCGAAACACTTAAAACGCCGCAAACAAACATTCATTCTCAAACAAAAACACCCACCAGCTCATCTCACTTCTCAGATACAGCCTTAACTTATCAGGTATCACGAGCAAATACACCAAGATTTCAGCTTCACCAACATCATCAAGACAGAGAGGAATCAACACAAACAGGACACCGACAATCTGAGAATGGCAGGTGAAAGTCGTGAGCGAGAAGAAGATGGCGCTGAAGAAACTCGACTTGTGCGACCCCGCAGCAGCGTTTCCACACTTCCTCGTTGCGTGATTGGTCTTGCTTACCGCAACAGAAAGCATCGCTTCTTTGTTCCTGCCACCAGTAACAATTTTGCTGGGATACCTTTTTCCTTCGTTATGGTGGATAGCGGTTGCAACAGCTTCCTGTTGCCATTTCCCCAGCGGGAAAAGGATGATGGCACATTCGAGATTGACATGGGAGCTCTGGAGCCTTTTCTTGGCCACCAGTTTAGGTGGTCTATCTCTGGTTCAAGCGGAACAGGGGCAGTTGGGTCAAAAACTCTGCGTATCGAGAATCGCAACAATAGTGTGTCTGTTGGATCAATGCAGTTGGCCTGTTCAAGTCCGGTGCCGTTGGATTATCTCCGATTCCATCTGGGAAGTGAAGCCGCAAATGCGTTGAAGAATCATGCGAAGGTGTTGCCTGACCATAGGCAGGCCCTCCAAGATTTCTTGACTGCTCTTAATGGTCAAGTTTCCAAGGAGCGAAAGCATGTACTGCTGGGACAGTACTACTTGGATCAGGTTTGTTGCATCCAGAGAGGTTCTGTCATGTTCATGGTTGACAGGGACATCAGAGATCCCATCAATATTGCCCAAGTAGCAAACCAGTGTGATGAATTCGCATACCCTCTAGTGGGAAACTTTGATGGATTCGATGACCTCGAAGATGAAGATCATGACGGGGATGACAACGAAAACCGCCGCTTGTCATGGGATCCAACCGACTACATTGATGAAGCTGATTAGTTGCTAGCTAGTAGCTAGTAGGAGAGATTGATTGCCAGCTAGCCACGCTTGCCGACAGAGATGTCAACCGGTGTAGGCGGGTTTACGACCTTCACGTTTTACTCGTGAAAGTGGAGTCGGCGCATGTTGGTATGTTTTGAATATCGTAGGGTGCAATATTTTCATTTGCGCAATGTCAACAATTCCACAGTCTACATGGACGGACCTTGAATGCTTCGAAAGCTGATCGGAGTCTTTGTTCCGCATGGGCCTTGGACTCTTGTTTTGGTTTGGTTCCGAATTCTCTGTGTCCATGTTTATGGATATGAAGTAAGGTGCGGCATGAAGTTAGACTTAATAGTATTCGAAGTTGATGAATTTGTATCGAAGTTGATGAATTTGTATTGAACTTGTGCCAAGTTGTTCTCTCAATAGCTGATGATGCCTACTCGCTGGATATTGGTGCGGCATGAAAAAAAGCTACCAGGTGAAACTAAAGCTGATGATGGCTACTAGTAGCTAGCTATTGGTGCGCTCAATCGCCGCGGAGCTATGAGTGGGTCGCTCAGTCGCCGCGAGGCTATCAGAGGTCCCTTGGTCCTGGCAGGATATAACGAAGAAGACCGTCGTTAAATCTTCGGAAACTCGGGGGAATCTGAAATTAAGGTCGGTCCCCCGGTCCCCCAAATCAGCTTTTTTGTTAAATCTTAGGGGAATCTTAGATTAAAGACGGTCCCCCGGTCCCCCAAAATCGACATTTACTATAGGAAAAACAGTAGGGGACCAACGGGACCCGAGGGGGTAATAATAGTTTCGCCATATCACAAGGTTGCACACTTGCTCTTTGGCTCCACGCGCTCCGCTTACCCCCTCGGGTCCACCAGGTCTTTTTTTAATTAAATTTTAAATTTCCGAACTCGGCACGATCTCTCAAACAAGCCATAACCAGACCGATCTGGCTTGGATGTACTACTAGCTCTAGCTAGCTAGTAAGGCAGGATACTACCAGTAAAGCATCGGAACAAGCATCGGACAAGGCAGGATACTACAAGGCATCAGAAAAAAGAACAAGGCAGGATACTACAAGGCATCGGATACCCACCAGTACGGAAGACGAGAGCTCACTATCATGGGCTATCGCTACATGGAAAAGCTAGTTTGTGAATTTCAAGAAGATGATAAGACTAGGCTACAACGACTTGAAGTACTCCAGTTTGGTGTTATTCAACAAGACTGTGGCCGGTCTACGAAAGGGTGGTTTGAACTTTTCATGGGTTGACACAGTCTTGGAGACGTCCAAGATTATCGAAGAGACTACATTGATGCGCGAGCAGACGAAGGCGGATGAGGCTCGATACAAGCAAGACCTTGTGCATTGGCATCTATCAGATGATGACAAGATGATGTATCGGATCCCTAATCAGGTTAAGACCTTTGCACAGTTTCGGGACAAGAAGAGCTGCAAGGTGAAGGATTATACTATCGAAATAGTTACCAAGATGTACCGATTGGATCAAGTCAACAGGAAGGAGGTTTGCTTAGAAAAAAATGATTAGTTTGCTTTGTTACGGGGTGACTTAGGTTCGTTCTGGGCTTTGCCGGCCATAGAATAGGAGATTGGGTTGTTGCATGCACCACACATAAGGCCGTCGTCGTCCATTGTCGACAATCCAAGTCATTGTTCTTGTGTTTGTGTGTGACGATTCGATTGCTCATCCTCTCTCTCGTTGATACCAGTATCCTGTAGTCACTTGGAGCGGAATGCCGTAATATGGAGCGAATGCGGATCGTTATCAGCGAACCTTCAGAACACAACTCGACGATGGCGGATTTGCAACTACAGTGGTTGCGGGACAACCCTGAACGCTGGAACCGAGAGCAACTACAATGGCTGCAAGACTGGACGATGAGTGGTGCCCAGAAGAGCCGGATTGGTTGCCTTGGGTGTGAGATTTTGAACTAAGTTTGTAATTACTAATCAAAGAACTTTCGCCACTCTTCAGGAGTGTTGTCTGGCAATTTCCCCATCTTCTCGATCTCGCGAAATGCAGGGAGCTTCAATTTTCTTTCTAGTTTGCTGTGAGTGATGAGTTTGTCTTTCTCAAATTGAAGGGTTTGTCGTATCTTATCTTCTGCTGGTTTTGCGATCCTTCTAATCTCTTCTTTGTTGTCGGTGGAAGGGAATTCATCTGCATGCATCAACACAAACCTTACCGCGCGTTTCATCGAGCCAAACTTGTTGATGATTGTTCTCTTATCAGGTTTGGACAACTCCTCCCATGAACCACTTCTCTGGTCCAATGCATAACCTGCGCGATAATCCTCGGCGAAAAAGGCGGTGGTCAGTTCTGTCAGTGATGCGAGCTTTCCTTCCGTGTTGATTGAAAACTTGATGAGGCCTTTTGGTTTGTTAGTTGGTTTTGGGGGGGCTTCTCCTACAAGGTTTTTCTCAAGTCGTTGGATGGCTTGGTTCATGGTGCACAGTTGCCCCACGATGAAGGAACTGGTGATCCTGCTTTCGTTGTGGATTGCATTGCGGATGTCATTGACCTTATGCTCGAGGCTTTGGAGTCTCATGTGGTTTGCGTGAGCCAGTGAGGACAGGGCATTGAAGTGATCGATGATGCATCGGGGATCCATTAGGATTTGGTTTCCAATCGATGCGCCGCCATATAAGGAGAAGTTTTCGATCGGTAAGGCTGGCATGTTGCGGGCTAGGAAGGCTTTGCGGGCTTCATCAATCCAGGAACTCAGCAAATCGTCGGCTTGGACTTTAACCAGCGCTTGGTGGATGCGACAGAGGAAGGGATTGTCTCGAACAGTTGAGCTGGTGAAACCCTGAGACGTGTCATCTTCAACCAGTCTAGCAAGTGGATGGCATTCGAGGATCTCACAGAATTCATTGTAGCGTAATAGCAAAGTCATCACTAACAACTCTTGAACTTGCGGGCTCCAGAGTTTCTCAACATCATCTTCAAACAGCAGATTGGTGAAATTTTTTAGAGTGTCGACATCTGTTTCAATGTCATCGAAGGTGGGAGGTTGACCACCGACAATCGTGTCGCCAACCTTGGTCGTCCAGTTTGCCAAAGCTTTACCGGCCTGGTGTGACATCTTCAGTGAGCCAGTGATGTAATCGAACACCGAGTGGAGGCCACCGACCGACCAACCAGTTCGAAATATTCCAGCCATGCCATTCAATGAGAGGCATTCTGCCATGTCTTGGTTGGATCCTTTCCGGTTGGAATGGGAAGAGAGCTCCTCATTGATTTCATCAGCTAACACCTCAAACGTGCTGCGCAGCTGGTCGAAAAGTTTGGTCCATGCCTTGGAAACACCGCTGTCGGATCTGCCGGCTTTCGTCTTCAGCGCAGCTTTGGAGAAAATTGGAAAGATGTACTCATTGTTGCAACCATTCAATACCAGTAGGTGGAGAAGAGAAAAGTAGAAGTCTTCGAGAATGCCATCTCTATGGGGATAGATGGGAAGGGTCTGCTGTTCATTGTCCTTCTGGCGCTGGCAGTACGTGGCAACGACTTGGTAGTTGTAGGTGAGTTCATTCACCTCGACGGCTTTCGTATCTGTTGCTTTTATGAGGGATATTTCACTACCACGGCCACAGCAGTGGTAACTTGCATTCAACAGATGCCAGAACTCAGCATATTGTGGTATTTTGAGCCAAATGCATGCGGTTGCCAGTGCTTCGCGGTCTCGTCGAGTGCTACACGCCTTCTCTTCTGTTCGTTTGCCGGTTGCTCGGTTAGACTCGCGATAGAATCCTCTGAGCTTCTGTAGCAGCTGCTTCCAAAGACCTTGTTGAAAGATGGGAATGGCGGTCTCGGTTCTGAACTTGTCGACAAAGTAGGTTTTGATTCCAGAACAGTACTGCTCAGAGGTACTTGCTGCGAGCTTCGTTTTGTTGCCCATGAAGTAGATGAAATTTCCAAAAAGTTTATCCCAGAATTCAAAGATGGCTTTGTCTGTTGTCTGCTGGGGGATGCCATGATAAGGGATAGCGGTGCCTTCGACCACATCGATTCCAACTTGGCGGCAGTATCCTTTGAGGAAACGGTTGAAATAGTTGAAGGCTTTCTTCTGTCTACCAGCTGATGAAGTGAAGAGGCATGTTCTCGCATCGACAGTGAAGAAGGCGTTGGTTTCATCTTCGTCCTCAGACGACGTCGGTGTGATCGCTGGCGCCATCGAGCTAAGATCGAGTAAAGGAACAACAATGGATAATGAACGTAGTATGGTGATGGTATTGGTATCAAGTTTCTCACTGGGTTGGCGGTGAATCGGTATGGGTGGATCGGCGTGCGTTTCAGGCGTTGGAATGGTGGATCGGAGTGCGTTTCAGGCGTTGGAATCGTGGATCTGGCAAGGCCTGGCAAAACCAGTCTGGGTCCGGTAAAGAAGAAGTAAAGTAACACTGTAGTTGGCGTGTGCGACTGTTGGATTAGCTTCTTCGAATAATTCGACTGGTCGATAGATGTGCCAACTGGAGTATTCGAAATGAAAGAAATCATGTCCCACGAACAAGCCTGTCCCAACGTCCCAACAAAACGAACAGGCATGATTTGGGATCCAGAAATGATCGGACTAGCTGGCCCTACCGGTACCGGCACCGTGCATGATGGTGTTCAGTGCTTTGATGGCACAGGGGCAGGGGTAAGACGAGGCTGCCCACATTCTGATACCAGAGGGAACTGAAAGGGATAGCTTGCGCCGAAAACTGGGTATGCTGCTGTATCAAGTCGATCAAGTCGGCCAAGATTCTCGCTCTGGGACAGGATTGGATGACGATCGCTGCCGCAGATCACATGAATGCAGCCACCAAAACGGTGACACCAATTTTCTCCCTGCTGTGATTGATTCCCCACCACCGATGCCCTTCTATTTAGTATTTATTCTCGACTTCATTATTTTATCTACAAGCAGATCTTCCAACACTAAATACCAGCAGAACTTTCGAACTGCAATTAGCTCACAATTTTTGGAACCTCCAGTTGTACACCTTAGAGCTATGGATGCCAGAATATGTTAGATTGATACCTCTCTTGCTCGAAGCAGGAATTTTGCATGGCTGTCCATGGAATACGGGTCGATCTGCCTGACTACATACGGTACCTGGTACCGGTTCAACCGTACGGCAGAAGGGAGAGGTGGGACACCAAATAGCATCACAGCTATCATACGCTATAATCGAACGTGCCAGTCAAGGAAGAACGGATCCAAGATCACAGTTCCACAAACAAGCAAAGAAGCGACGCTCAAAAGCAGAGCATTGGTGTCCGGCTACATAGAGTCGAGCGTCTTCGTAGTTGCTGTATTTCTACAAGCTAGTGTACCGGTGCAGACGGCTTCGAACCTTGCACAACCCCATCCACGGCCGGCTTGCGAGTATAACTACGGGTAGCTAGAATTTGTACCTTCGACACTTCTTGTGCTAGTAACAGACTAAATAGAAAACTTTGATCTATGCATGTACGCTGCGCATTGCCCAGAAGCTAGGGTATGCAACAGATTCAATCATTCGATTCGATTCGTCGCATCAGCCACACGCGATTTTATAAGCAAGACAAACAGAAACCGCCCCCCCCCCGAAAGAATATGGGACAATCATGACAAGGCACTATGCTTGCGTTTGCTTCCACAACGAGCACTCTTTCTGCTAGCACGCTGAGAAGTGTTGGGCGATTGACTCCATTTGGCTGGATTTTCACGGAGAAGCCCATAAAGAATGTTGAATCTGTCCTCCTCTGTGGCTGGTCGTTTGCGCACGCTTTGCCCAAACATCAGTTCAGCGTCTTGGGGACCGGCTGGGACTGGATCCGCGTGAAGGCACAATTCAGACATTTGAACCATCTCTAGCAGATCTAAAAAGTGGGCATTGACAGCTTCTTGACTCCGAGCATATTCCCGACCACACGCATTGAGTGCAGTGTAAAAGGGCAGCAAGTCTTGACTCGGACCCACTTTGAGGCAGTTGTCGCCATTTGGATTGTCATCAGTGAGGCAATCACGAAAATCGACATATTCAAGTCTTGTATTATTCTGGAGAATGTTCAGCAGAATTTCATGGTATCCCTTACACTTGTCTGGATGATTCTCTTCTATAGCACATCCAAACCCGGAGATTCGGCAGGTGTCCAGTGCTTTTAGGATTGGATCCAGACCCTTGGCTGTCGTGTCGCTCCTTACGACCAAAGATAAAATCGTTATTGAAGCATCGTCACGAAGGCACCGGCAGATTGTGGGTACAGCAGCATCAACATCCGTGTCAAACCCCAAATCCAAACCTTCAAGACGAGGCATCGACTTCAGGCATTGTTCCAAGAAGCTGACCGCCAAGGGACTGTTTGGACACCGAGCAAAGTTCAGCACCAGGAATACTGGCTTCCACTGGGACAACATCCGCTTCCAAGTTTCTGTGTTGAAGCACAATGAATCCCCCAGTTGATCGTGGGAAAGCTCTGGGAAACCAAGAACAACAGTCTGGATGCTCTTGTTTGAAACGATTCTGCGGACAACTTCTAAAAAGGCATTCAGTTCCCAATTTTCACCCGGGATTTCGACGCTCTTGAGAGCCTTGCCGTCCAACATTGGTGCCATGCCCGCCACTGCCGTCAAGTCCAATGCGTTCCGTTTTGTGCTGGAATTGTCGCGAGCCGATGGAAGCCGACGAGCCAATGTCAAGTCATAGGGCAACACAACCTGACTAACAGTTGTCTTCCCTGCCATCACACCAAACATGTTTTTGCTAAACTCTTGACTGTATTTCCAGCTGAGGACTGAGCACAAACACGCCGGAATCTCATAGTCTGGACCTTTTGGCACCAGCAGTTCTGGATTGATTTCGGCGAGGGCAATGATTTCACTTTCGGTGGGTCTATCGGGTCCTGGTCCTTGAGCCACTGCCAGTTCAAGTGCCCTTTCATCAATCAAGGCAGGACGTTGCTTGGCAAGAAAACCAACCACTCCTGGCTTGGCTCCACATTTGAGGACGTTGGCAAATAGTTGTTCAGTCAAGGCTTCCGGATACAATTCATATCTAGTTTTGACAGTTTCCAAATCTGCCTTTGCCATCAATGCCATCTCCAGTGGCTGACTCTTGGAAACGGTCCAGTTGCTGGTTGGGACTGGGTTGTCGATGGCAACAAACAGAACTGTGAAGTCTATGGAATCGTTTCGTCTGGCTTCATCACTCCGATCATGTTCGGACAGTGCGCGTTCTGGTTGAGATCTCAATTCGTGAGCATTGTTGCGATCTGATTCTGGTTGCCGTCCGGAAGCTCTTGTATCGCTGCTTCCGTCAAGAGGATGGTTTGCACTTGAAGAATGATTGGGAGGATGCTCCCATCGACCAGGAGGAAGACTTTCCAGGCCACTACGAGGAGGACGATCATCATGATGTCGACCACGTGACGAGTCCTCCCGTCCGCTTGACGAATGAGAAGGTGCCTCCCATCGACCAGGAAGAAGACCTTCCGAGCTAACACGAGGAGGATCATGAAGAGGAGGACCATCATTATATCGACCATCATTAGGATTAAAATGATTGCCCCACTGACCACGACGAGGACGAGAAGGAGGTCGATCGCCTCGAGGACTTTCCCATCGTTGGTGTTGATTGTGGTTGTCTCGATGGTAATGCTGCCGCCTATTGTCGGACATGGTGAAAGGAGTTGGAATAGTAATGGGAGAAGCGGTTTTACTTTTGTTGTTGTTTGGGGGTGGTCGCTTTGTGGTGGTTTGTTTTAGGAAGAGCAATGCTGGTGCCGTGACGGTTTGATTGTGTGAGGCTCGATTTGTGTTTTTGCTTGAGGGTCGTTGTAAAATAAATTCGATCCCCGAGAAAAGAGTGGAGTCGAGTCGAGCCGAATTGCATGATGAATCGAATAGAATCCAATCGAATGACGCCGTCGGCTTCAAGTAACCCCCACCCTGTACAGTACTGTAGGCGTTCTCATCCGATCCGCTTTGTTGGTTGGGATGACGGTCGGAAGAAAAGCCGTCAACCTCACCAGCCAAAGTGTCGACAAAGCTGTACCGGTACCGGTATGGTCTCCAGACCTGGAAGAAGCCAAGGGTGTCTCCCACTGTCGCTGCGGCCAGTCGCCTGGACAGAAGGTGCATTCATGTTAGTCATAGAGACGAGAGAGCTACACCTATAGCACCATCATGACGAATTTGAAGTCTGATTTCCATCGAATCTTGAAGAAACGATTTCAATCTGCCCCACGCTTTGGATACTCTAGCACATTTTCGGACTTGTTCTCTCAAGACAATGATGTCTCAATGAACTATGTCAAAGGGCTCTTGGCAGCTGGCCTGCTCATACTCATTATATTCCTCTGCTGGGTGCTACTGCTGCTGGTCTTCAAGTGTTTGGGGAGAAGGAAGGTGGGATTCCTAAGCGGTGCTCCCTTTCAAGCTGTGATCAGTAGTGGCGACGCTCCCTCGGTGAATCCATGGATTGCCAGAGGTCGATTTACTGTGGCATTTTCTTGTGTTGCCATGGTCGCTTTTGCTGTACTATTGGCCACAGCTGGTATTGGAAACATAGATACTACCACCACCACCATTGGAGACGGTGCCACGGTGAGTCGAGTCAAATCGAGTCGAGTCGTCACGTTGGTTGCGAATGGAACAGGATATCAACGCATTTTCTCGTGTTGTTTTGCGATGTTTCTCTTGTCGTGTTCTCAACATTCCTTCCCTGACACTGTCGCAGTTGGGATATGATTACTTTTCAACTGCCCAGCTCCGGCTGCGTCTTGTGGAAGAAGACATTGTGGTCGCCAAATCCGTTAGAGACGAAGCTGTCATAGAATTCAAGGAATTCTATACTTCCTTGAGAGATGCAGGAGAAGCCTATGGTACTGGAGATGTGGAAGAAGCTATCAGGATTGTTATTGAGGGTGCAGATGAGCTGCATGATTTCATTGGATCAGAATTCCGGTCCATTTATGGGAGCCTAGGAGATGGACAGCAAACATGTCTCAATGTGAAAGAAACTACAGATGAGATTGATCTTCGTGTGTTACAGTGGGTAGTTGGAGTGATCTTCGCATTCATTCCTGCAGTACTTTATGGATGTTTTTGGTGGATGATGTATCAACCTACCAGTGAACGCAATGCAAAAGTGGAGGTTTGCACAACATGGTTTGCCTTGCCTCTCGTTTCATTGCTGGTGGTTCTGTCAATTATCGCTTGCAGTGCAATCTGCGTAGCGGGACTCATGAATTCTGATTTCTGCTCCGGTGGTGAAGACCAAACTCCAGACTCTACCATCATTAGAATTATGATAGAGCAAGGATCCGATCCTGATAGTTTTGAGTTTCGAGCCATCGAATACTTAGTCAGTGTAAGTGTGGAAGAGTTTGGTGAAGGCTGACCCCTGTCTGTGCCTTGTTTTGGCTAATCCACAGATTTCCCCCCTTATTTGCGAAGGAATGTGACTTTGGGCGGTTGGTCAGAGGGACACCACTGGAGAATGTTGAGGACCTGGAGAGTAGAATCGACTCCACCCTGATTGACATTGAATCTGTGCTTGAAGAAATTGCTGTCATCGATACTGAACAACTATCACAGCAGATTGGATACAATGTATCAGCCGTGCAGGTGCAGCTATTGCGACTGCGAGAACCGCTTGAAGAGCTACAAGGGCACATCTTGGAGTTCATACACAGTTTGGCTTGCCGGCCTCTCTATGCTGCTTACTATACTGTGGCGCATCAGGCAACCTGTACTGAATCATACACTGGGTTATTTTGGGCGTTCATGTCTCTCCTTTGGATAAATCTGTTTGGTACGTTGATTCTGACTTTCCGGTCTGCGCTGTACCCAGTTTCGGCAGCTGATTCGGTTGTCGCAGATTTGGAACTCGAAACAAGAAAGCAAGATGCCCTTGTCGAAGCGGGCACTGGCCGAGAAGAAAACAACGAAGTGGTGTTGAAACCAAGCAGTGAAGAGGAATGCTGATAAGAACGACGAGATGATGATAGCAGGATCACCAAATAGGGAACCAAAACGCAGGGAGGCACGTGTTTCGGTCGAAGCTCTCGTGGCTGTGCCAACAGGGTGGCCCGAGGAAGCTCACTGCCCCATGCAGCGTGAGCCTGAACTGCTCGATGACTGCATGTAGCTACTGGCACAGAACAACAAAGAGTGACCAGAAATCAAGGAATGGCTGTTCGAGGAAGCCCACTGTTCCCAGCTCATGTGGCTCGATGACTAACTAGCTAGTGCCACACAGAAGAGCACAACAAAGAGACCAGGAATCCAAAAGGGGGCACAATCACTACTGTCTGGAGGCGGTACCGTAGTCGTAAGTAGCTATACCATACTCTAAGTTACTATTACTATCTTTGTCGAAGCACACTTGTCGCTCACCGTCGTCTGTGTTGTTGCCGTTGCCAAGTGCTTCGACTGGTCTTCTTTTTTTTTTGCTTGTAATCGTCGGCGGGGCCCATCAATGAATTCTTGGAGCCCATGGGTTGCAACAAAAGATGATGTTGATTGGTGTTTCTTTTCGTCGTGTTTTCCACAGTCTGTTGAGAGAGGCTTCTTCTCTGCTGCAAGCTCGTCCAAGGTCATTGTAGAAAAATCTCGTTTGCTGGCATTGGATGACTGCTCTCCGGAAGAGGGGTGTGGTTGAGAGGAACTCTGGCTGACAAAGGGAAGAGACTGTACTTGTGGCTGCGACTGACTGCTTCGACTTGTCTTCTGCGCCCCAGCTCCTAACAAGGACTTTACCAGGGCGTGCCCAGCAATTCTTTGCTTTCTGTCATTTTCTGTCTCGTGGTCAGACTTGGTGTAATCCAGTATCGTATTGGCATCACGGAAGAGAGTACCGGTACCGCTGTCTTTTCCAGTTGACACGACAAAAGCTCTGACGGCACCTTCCACCGCCACAATGACCAGGAACGTTTTATATTGTTCCGTGAAAAGTAGCTTGGCATAGCTCGCCGCGTTGCGGCTATTGTTGTAGAGGCTCAAACCAAACGTGGGTGAATGCCGAGCAAACAGAGGAGGAGTTCATCTTTGAGCTGTTTGATCTGTTTGCCGCTGCTTGGTTGGCGGATTCGCTTCAGAACATCAGATTCGATTCATGAGGAATTCCTTCTCCAGCTAAGAAATTCGATAATACAGTCGGAACATGTTGCTCCGATGACGTTGTCTGCGATCGCCTCCATGATGAGGACCAGATGTAAGACGCCGATTCGAATCACGCCGCTGGGGAGGATGACCAGACAGAGGATGCTCATGGTGCTCATGTCGCCGGGAAGGATCACGTTCATGCCGTCTACGATCCCCAGGAGGACGCCGATCGCGCAAAGCCAGCGGCCAGAAGCCCAAAAGTCAACGTCGCTCAGGCGTTTTTCGTCTGGAGAGAAGACGCCTCAAAACGGAGAAAGCCAAGGATTGAAACTTCACACCATGGTCTGAAGAACACGCACCAACAAGAAATATTAGAAAAACTCCACTTCTGATATGCCTCCTCCTGCCCTGATGGACCCGACTGTCACTCCTCGTGGTCATGGTCGAGGGGCCAAGACAAGAAGTGGATTCCAACCCAAGAGATGAGCTTGACTAAGAAGAAGAAGGTGTTAGCATCCTCAAGTCTCTCACTGAATACCATTGTCCCGATCAATCCACTGCTACTACTGGCTAGTAGTTATCATCTTGCCTTCCTGGGAAACCAGTTCCAAGGGTTGGGTCAAGAATGAGACCTCGACCATAGTGTAGCCATCATGTCTTTTCTTGGTGATTTACTTCTCATCTTCATGGAAGATCGAAAGCCATTGGATGGCCAAAGGCGGAGTTGGAACACCATTGGTTTGCTTAGAACAGCTCGTTCTAAATCGAGCCATTTTTGGTGACAATGGGCTACGGTACTTTTAAAAAATAAGCTCCATACTCAAAACACCCATTTAACTGTTTTAAGAAGAGGCGGCTTTCTAGATGAAGATGCTTCCCGTGGCCTGCGTCCAGCGTTAGGGTTCAGCGTCCGGGTCCACAGCGCGACCATGACACTTCTCCTGTTACTAGCGCAGAGCGATCGAACGGAACGACCATGACGCCTCTACCACAATTGCACCGTCCGTCCGAGCAGCAGGTTCAGAGCAGCCACCAGTACCGTAGCGGCTACTATCAATACCAAAATGGCGCCCCATCAACTCTGCTTTCTTCCTCTTTCACGGAGCGACCAACGCATGACGCTAACGACACGAAGAGCCAACGACGCGAAGACGTTCACTGATAATGAATGGCTACCGGTACTTCTATGAATTGCATGTATCTGCAGCCCGTGTCCAAGTTTTTCGAATGGAAGCCATGTCCAAGCGAATGAGAGCCGACCTCAATCAATTTTCCGGGATCATCATGGGATCAATTGGACAGTTGGGTGAGGATCCTGAAGAGGATGCCAACGGAGATGCAGTCAAGATCACTGCTTTCTTGCAACTTGTCCTCAGATGCAAATGGGATCTCAACTAGTGCTGTTGGATCTCCGGATTGCAGGACGACCACAACGATACGTCGGCGACAAGTCCACTCCCTTCAAGATGGAGAGTGGCAGCTGTTGCCAGCTGTGCACACGAACCGACGGACCAATCAGTACCACCGGGTTTACCAGACTACAGCCGTGTCAGGAAAAATTACTCTCAGTTTGGCAACCGACAACCACAACCTCATCGAACACAGAAGTGCAGGCACTACCGGTATCAGTTGAGAAGATCAAGGCATTCAAGACAATGCTGAACGAACTCGAAGAGCCAGCGTCTTGGTGGTCGTGGGGATACAACAGTCAACGGCTCCTTTTATTCTAAGCGGAAAATAGACTACCATGAGCATGTCAGATCGTAGGGACGACAGGTACAGGCGACAAGTCCTCCACAAAAGCGCGAAAAGCAGTCAAGTTTGGCTGCTGTTTCAGAGCTGACACTGCGGTCACCTCAAGATTTCCCGATCGCTACCGGTGTACTAACAGTGGGTGGTGCTGAGCGCCTCTACCCTATTGTAACAATCAATCTACATGTGTCCATCTGTCTATCCTCTTTTCATGGTCGTGGAGTGGTGTTTGGGGTGACTTTGTCGAAAGGCGAGAATCGCATTTTTTGGGCATCACGAGTGATAAAATGAGCCAAGTCCGAGCAACATCGCACCAATGCGTAGGGGCCGCATAGAATCCCTGAAGACATGTAAACTATCCCGCGTCACGCCCAAGACATTGGAGGACATCGTTTCTACATGGCGTTGGATTCACCCCCAGTCGATTAACGGGGTCTTTGGTTGTGGCGGACAGTACCAGTGCCCATTCGTTCTTGCCCTGCCAAAACCTCAAATTGAATTCAACTTGAACAAGCGCGTGGTAGCAACCAACAGAAAGGCCGACACGAGATTAGGAATAACCCATTCAGGCTTCCACGCACCCCAACCGGATCATGCGCAGACAAAAGCCCAAAACCGTATCTGGGATTGCAAGACGCGGGTGGGTAACCCGAGGAGGTGCATACGCTAAAGAATACCGCCAGCGTCGACCCCGGCTGGGGCGAGAAGAAGCTTGGCAGCAACTGAGGCTGATCGTTGTCATGCTGATCCTCGGCATCCGAATGCTGACTTAGTTCTCGATGTTTTAGAAACACAGATCGCGCCACCGAATGAAAGAGAGCAGAATGCTTTCAGACAACAATTATCGTCGTCGCTGTACCGTTTTCCCACTTGAATTATTAAAGTACAAGATAGAATGGCGTTCCTGTGTTCGCCATGGGAAGCATTCGAAGTTCTCGTCGTAAGCACTCGAAGTTCTCGTCAGCGCTCAGCCTATCCCAAAGGACCTTTCCGCCGAAAGCACAAGCCGAAGTGTTCCCACCCTTCCATCGGTATCGGTTCCCCAATGAAAACATTTCGCGGGAAGACAAATCAGACCGACTGATACTCTTGATACAACCAACGCTTGCGGTCAACGAAGCTGTAAAGATCTGCTATACACCACCGTTTCTGCCAGGCATCGCTGGTGAAAGGCCACCTTGTCCGCCAACGGAAGGTGCAGCTGGCAATCCTTTGTTCCTGGCGGAGGCTGGATCCCTTGATATGTTTCGCGACGAGAGCACCCAAATGCGGCAACTGAGCCCCGGGAAAAGAATAGTCTAGCTAGCTAGCTAGGAATCAGTTTGCAAGCATATAATCTATAGAACTTCGTTGAAGAATCGTATGAGTACATCTGATTGTTCGGGCTATCATTGTTATGTCTCTGGGCATCCATTCTCACTAGACAATTTCAAAACTTCTACATAGGCGACCAACTATGGCAGCTCCTCTGCAGTTCTGTCATTCCATGGGCATCCATTGGCACGAGCCCATTTCAGGATCTCCAAATGGCCACCTGCAGCAGCTTCTGTGCATGTGTAATCACCCTATGGGCACCCATTGGCACGAGCCCATTTCAAAACTTCTAGGTGACCACCTGCAGCAGCCCACCTGCATGTGTAATCATTCCATGGGCATCCATTCTCACGAGCCCATTTCAGGATCTCCAAATGGCCAGTTTTTGCAGCTTCACTGCATGTTCTCTCATTCCAAGGGCATCCATTCTCACGAGCCCATTTCAAAACTTCTAGGTGACCACGTCCGGCAGCTTGACTGCATGTGTAATCATCCCATGGGCATCCATTCTCACGAGCCCATTTCAGGATCTCCAAACGGCCATTTCTTGCAGCTTCACTGCATGTGTAATCATCCCATGGCACCATTTCACGAGCCCATTTAGATTCCAATGCCATTGCAGCAACTGCATGTTAATCCCATGGGCATCCATTCTGGCCCATTTCACATTAATCTCCCACCCGCTACGCATGTCATTCCATGGCATCCATTCTCACGAGCCCATTTCAGGATCTCCAAATGGCCACCTTCTGCAGCTTCACTGCATGTTCTCTCATCCAAGGGCATCCATTCTCACGAGCCCATTTCAAAACTTCTAGGTGACCACCTCCGGCAGCTTCTGTGCAGGTTTCCGCGTCCATGGGCATCCATTCTCACGAGCCCATTTCAGGATCTCCAAATGGCCAGTTTTTGCAGCTTACTGCATGTGTAATCATCCCATGGACACCCATTTTCACGAGCCCATTTCAAAACTTCTAGGTGACCATATCCGGCAGCTCGACTGCATGTTCTCCAATCCCATGGGCATCCATTCTCACGAGCCCATTTCAGGATCTCCAAATGGCCATTTCTGCAGCTTCACTGCATGTATCGCTATCTCCCATGGCACCATTCTCACGAGCCCATTTCAAAACTTCTAGGTGACCACCATTAGCAGCATTATAGCATGTTCTCTCATTCCAAGGGCATCCATTCTCACGAGCCCATTTCAGGATCTCCAAATGGCCAGTTTTTGCAGCTTGACTGCATGTGTAATCATCCCATGGACACCCATTTTCACGAGCCCATTTCAAAACTTCTAGGTGACCATATCCGGCAGCTCGCCTGCATGTTCTCCAATCCCATGGACACCCATTCTCTCTTGCCCATTTCAGGATCTCCAAATGGCCAGCGCTTGCAGCATTTTTACATGTCCCCATACTCATTGGAAATCCTTTGGTGTTGTGGGCCCATGTCAGGACTGGAAGACTTCCAACTCCAGCAATTGCTTGGCAGACAGCAGAAGGCCGCGGTGTTTTCCCCTCTGAGCTGTCAGCGAACCAGTATTCCGCACAAGACTCATTGCAGAAGGCTGCACTGTACAGAGTATCTGTGGCGGTTGCTGCACGGGTTGTAATTTGGCGTTCCGTGGTAAATACTCTCCGTGGCTTCTTCACTGTCTTGCAGAAGTCCTTGTAGAGTTGATTGAGTTTCTTGTTGACAGCTCCCAAGAAAGCATACTGTCCGATGCCGAAACAGGGGAGGATATTGTCCACCCAAAGATCCTCCTGCTCCATCAAGGACTCGATGGTCGGGGTGGAAGGCGGACGGCCCACACGAGAAGGTCCGCTAGGGGAAGTCTTCTGTTTCTTGTTGCTGGGTTCAGTGGACATGATGGAATGGAATGGAGTGCTCTAGCTAGCTAGGTAGGTATGAAGCGATGCTGCGGATTAGCTGAGCTGAGATGATATGATATGGATGTAACAAGGAGCGGTTGCTGGTTGCTGGTTGGTGTGTTGAGGATCCGTTTGCGGTCTTACCTAAACCATACCCCAAGTTGGTACTAAGTACTTCTAAGTAATTTCACTGGGACTTGTGACAGTTACATCAATTAGACAACCCGTAATCCAATTGAACTTGGTACCATGGACCAAGAAGGCAGCTTGCTCTTGATCATGGGTATCAGCATGCATCATGTCAAAATGTAATATCTGATTTCATTAACCAGAGAACACATTTTTTTGATGCTGTTGCTGGTAGGAGAGAAAGATTCTATGCATATGATAAATTGTTGTTGTTGCTGTGGCAAGTGGGCGGGTAGCTTCCAAATGGGTTGATATTTTGGTGGTAATACATATTGCTGTTGGGGTGGAAAGCAGCAGTGGATTGATTCGGAACATGCATCATTGAGTTGCTGTATCCAAATTGTTGTTGTTGGGGAATCATTTGCTGTGCTGAAGCAGTGGAGATATTGGAATTTCCATTGCTGGGATGATGTTGAATATCCAATCACGAA